ACTGCAAGGCTGGAGGCAGCAGCCCCAAGATCAGGAGAGGGAGCTCATGTGAGAGAGAGAAGGAAGGCTGCACTGCAGCACTGAGGGCAGCATAAAACTGGCAGCACCTTCTTGGGATCTGGGAAGAGATCTCAGGACTGAGAGTCAGAGTCATCCCCTTATGAACTGTGTTTAAGGATTATCATTTTAAAGGCTTTGTGAGCTAAGCAATAAGCCTGAACCCGCCATATAAGGATATGATAAAAAATGAAGCAGGTCTTGTAGATAAATTAAGCAAAAGACCGACAGCATCCATATATCAGCACAATTATATTTGCCTTGCAGGGGAGTGCTTATCTGCAAGGTGACTGTCCGGACGGCCCTAGGGATTTTAGAGTTTAAAATTTGGGGGTCTGAAGATGTAGCCTGGGCTCTGAGAGCTAGGCTGGTTCTTCTCCCGTTGTTCACCCTCATCAGTAGTAATGAGTCTTCAGGTCTGATTAAATCATCAGCAATACCTACTAGATCCACAAAAAAAAAAAGAATTACAAATCTAAGTCCCACCCAACTCCTATTTTACATATGTAAATCCAAAATGATAATCCTCAAAACTCTAGCATACCAAGGTGTCTCAGTTTTGCCAGTATAGTTCCCTAGATGTCTGTAAGTCGACTTCTAACAACAAAAAGTGCTACAGTGTTGATATTGCTGAGTAGCTTGGAGGTAAGTTATGCCTGGGTCCTGACAAGACTTTGACAAGAAATCCATAAACCAGGGGTTGATCCACCTATCTTGCTGGCAGGACTCAATCCAATAGGCAATCTCAAAGCAAGCCTTTTGGGCTCTATACAAGCAGAGGCACAATAGTGATTCTTTATCCTTTTGGACCAAAAACTTAGTGGTTAGATCACTCACCACAGAAGTGGGATACCTGAATTCATTTTCCTCCTCTGCCTGAGGGGATTCCCATCTCCCAGGATAGCACCCGAACCACCAAAAGAGAGCCTGTTCTAGGTGTGTGAAGGGAATGTCAATAGCTACATATGCAGTCATTGTCCAAAATACTTATAATCTAGGTATTATCTTTGGGCTAGGGGCTTTCCCTGTCAAATGAATGCACTAAGCTAAAAAGTCCTGCTGCCTCTTCTTCAGAATTATTTCATGGAAAGTTTAATGGCTTCCTCCGGAGAAACTGAGAAACTCCTTCCCCCTGCATCTGGACTAGACTCAAGCCTGATGGTTAGATCACTACTGACTACACTGCTCCATCCCTGACTCCACACATGGATGTAGGGGATCAGAGGACCATGGTAGTGCTTTCAACAGAGCTTCAGGATCTGGTAAACCTGAAAGGTATGTGCAATATTCTTCCTTATCTTTTATGCAATTTTATGAGTTATGAATGTTTGAAGATGCCAAAGAACTGCCCCATTAGGTAAAAGAGAAAGAATAAAACCATATTTGACCTTGTTGCTTCACATCCTGCACCAAGAATATGTCCTTTGCTTCTCCAATAGCTTCACAAGTGCAGCTAACCAGAGTTTATATGCCAGTCCAGGGGCAGCGTAGACATATCCTTGGACTCTAATTCTGCCCTCCTAATAAAAGCAAGTCTTCCAATACAAATCCAAGAGTCTTGCCTATATCAAGATTGGCTTATTTGAATAGTATGCATTTTAATACAGTCAAATGTGAGGTCATACATCAAAGAATAAAGAACACAGGCCATCCATATAAGATGTATCCTACAATACAGTGATACCAAGAAGGATTCAAGGCAATGGATTGCTTAAACAATTAAACACAGTTCCCAATGCATTGCTGCAGCTGTGGATATGGTGTTTTGGTGCCCATGTATCAAAAGAGACTATGAGTAATTGGAAGGGATTTGGGGAAAGACCTACAAGAATTATTCAAGATCTGGAAAGCTGCTTATAGGGGGAAATTTAAGAAGCTTTGTCTGTTTAATTTATCCAACAGGTGATTAAAAGGTGACTTGATCATGAGCTTCAAAACGTAGTTAGAGAACCGTTTTCATGCTGCTGAGGACTTAAGCTAGCAGGCAGAGACATCATAAAAACCAGGGTTAGATTGTGAATTAGATACATTCAAACTAGAAATAAGGCACACATTTTAGCAGGGGGTTGTAATTAGCCTTTTGAACAGCTAACCAAATAATATGCTGGTTTCTCTACCACTGGAAGTTTTCAAATCAGAACTGGATATTTGTTCTAGGAGATAGGGTGCAGATCAAGCAGAAATGATAGATTTGATGCAGAAATTTAGAGGATGAAGTTAGCCTATTTACAGAGGCTGTCAGACTCGGGCAATCTTACTGGTTCTTTCTGGCCTTGAAACTTATAAGCATGAAAAAGATTATGGACTGCGGCTGGATCATTCATTCTGCAAAGCTAACCAAAAGCTCTCTTTCCTGGCACCCAGAGTATCCCTTCAAGTGGTGTAGCACTGGTTTAGCAGCTATTATACTATACCCTTCCCTAGCTGACATGGGGCAGTGGGGGTGGGCATGGATGGAGTGGTCTGAGATACATGGCTGCAGAAACAGTCCCACCATACTACAGACACCTGGCACAACTTTTAGCAGGCTTTGGGTCAGAAAGATCAGTTCTTCACAGGGATCCAGAATCAGGGAACACAAAGATGGCTTAAAGTGACATCCAGCACTGTAGCTTTGTATCTTGTCCTTTGTGACTGAAAAGTCATCAACTGACCTAGTACCTTGCTATACCAAACAGCCTCATAACTCCTGGTCACTGGAGCATTTCTGGTTATCTGGGACTATTCCAGTATAGTCCAGCAAGCTGTGAGTAAAATTGTTCTTTTTTCTATTTCCTCAATCTCAAAATTACTATTATCATTTACCACATGTTTCTTTATTCTTCAGACAGAAATTATTACAGATAATTAACAGATGCCAGATGCTGACTCTGTAATGAACTAAAATCTTTCTACAAAGTGCACCCGGATGAGTGCAGATTTGACAGATTTTGTGCTACACATGTGTTTCACTTTGAGCACTGCTTTCTCTGTGGCTGCTGTAATCCCCTTGTCTCCTTATATAGCTAACTCTAAATCAGATTGTGTCTATCCTTTGGGCAAACTGTGTATGGAATAGAAGGGCACAAGGAACCTTCTCCCCCACCTCCAATGTGCACCAACAGATGAAGACCCAGAGCTGTTTCATGCCTTCTAGTTCTCTAGTCACACAGATTACTCTAGGCTATCACCACTATCAGTGCTAAGCATCCTAAATGGTCCACGGTCCTGATTCTTTCCTCTCCCCATTTGGAAGCAGTTCTTCCTTTACTGGAGTCTCAGTGCCTCCCAGAGATCCTGCTGGAGCAGTTTAACCAGATGTTCACATATATGTTGTTTCGTTTAAGTGTTTAATGCCACTTTCTCCCTTTTGCATATACGACTTAACATCCCCTTCTACTGTGACTTATTAAATTCTGTTGATTAGTATTTATGCTGTTGAGTGTTTGGGAATATAATTAGCATTAAAAATGTTGCATAGAACACAATTGCATCGTGCATCCATGTGCACGTGTGTTTAACTTGAAAGTTGCATTTTTGTTCAATTAAAGCTGAATTGGAACTTGTTTTGCAAGGCTCAACTACAGCATCTCAGGTGCCATTTTCATAAACCTAGATGAAAGGAAATTCAGATGGCATTGCTTTGCTATTTATTGAAAAGTGTCCCATTGAGACTGTTTATGAATAAGGGCTGCAGCATCCATTTTAAGTTTCATTTTTCAGTAGTGAGACATCACCATTGAACCCATGTCATATTTCATCTCCAAGATAAATCTTGGATTCACAAGTACTACAGAGCTATTGTAGTACCAGAGATAATATGATAGTCCTGTCCTGAGGGGGAAAATATTTGAAGACGTAAATCAAAAACCATCCATCACACTCGGCTGTTTTCTGCCCATTTTCTCCTAATGCCAATTCTTAGAGAAATGGTTTAAATTCTTCAGGGCTATAACACTTCTGCAATTCTTTTCACAGGCCAGGTTCCTCAAAACTATTTCTTCTCATGTTAATTAAGATGGTGTTGGAATCAATACATAGCTGCTACCGAGCAAAAATAATGACTGCACTGATAACTAGTCTCAGTTCACCTTGGGTAGCTCTAGTAGACAACATTTTAAATACTGGTTCCATAAAAGAGGTACCATTAATATCCTCCAAACAAATCAGTATTTTTTGTCCAGCTCTATCTCATGGTGCATTTATCTGTTTGAATGTACAGAAATCGCTTATGTAAGTATTTGTACTAGGCTCCCAAATCTTTGCAAAATAAAGATAATGAGTACTCTAAAATGAAACATAAAACTATTCTAGTATTGGGAAGGCTTCCTCAAATCAAAATATCTGAAATGGCTGTATATGGCAATACTGGGGGGGATTAGGAGGGAGAGGGGAGAATGCACTGTTTTGGGAAAAAATGAGTATTTTATCTTCAGCTGATTCAAGCTCTCTTTCGTCATCACAAGTAAGACTAATTGTATCCTTCAAGTTTGCAGACACATTTGACTGTTTTTCCTCAAACAAGAGCTATAAAGTAACGAACCATTATTGCGCCTTTCATGTGAGGAGATTCCCAGACACAGTGATACAATAGTCCTCTGCACCTTATGAAGAGTTTCTATCTGACATCTTGGAAACAGTAGGTTTTCTATCCATTCTCTTGTAAGGTTGCCAAATTCAACCTTAATAAATATAAATCACTACTTTCTTTCCTTTGCTGGAGTTGCTGGAATCAAGAATAATCAAATGTTACATTAAAACAGATTTTGGACCTAGTAATTTTGGTTGCTGAAAAAGTAAAACTACTATTCATTAGATAAAAGAGTTCAGAAAACTATTTAAGATGCTCAGATATCAAAGCTGCGTATGCAAACCCCAGATGTCCACATTAGCCTATTAAGAATTAAAAAATGTTGCATTTGCCCAAACTGTATATATGGTAATTGAATGTACAGAATACTCACCTGCCCTTCTTGTATACCTCATGTATTTCTTTTCCTTGCCGGTGGGCTCTGCATTCAGTGGACAAAACCCATCCCCATAACAGCAAGATGAGGCTAAACTGCATTTTATGGACAGTCAACATGATACTCTCAGATCCTGTATCCAGCAATAGTCCACACAAGAATAAAAAAACCAAAATGTAGATTCTGTTTTTCTTTTTAAGACATTATTGGTCTGTTCATTATTGGGAGGATGTTTACTCATACAAAAAATCATCCTGCAGTATTTAATCTGGACAGTAGGGAAAGCAATTTCCACTAAACCTATAAATCCCTCTACGTCAGATGGCAGGGATTTTCAAACAGTGCAGAATTCACATATCCCCACAGAACAATTGTTTGGTTTTGGGTTGTTTTTTTTCCAAACAGGCTCTTGAATTAATTGGTTTAAACAGACCACTTTCAGATATTTTGGAAAATGGCATTTATCTTTCCACTTGATGGATTGGGATAGTCTAGTAGTTCATCTGAGTGGTTCTTTCATCACTGATAAATGATTTGAATGTACTAACAGAATTTGTTAAAATACCTTATGTACAACAGATCTTTTAAGTATCTACTTTTATCTGCTTCCAGCAGCTGATAATCATAACTTCTATCTGGCTTTAAAGATAATATTTTGAACCTCTATTTGTTGTGCTCATGCTTACAGTTTCTTGGTGATGCCTTACTGTTTGCTTTTGAGCTTGCATGGCTTGTCTCACACACTTCACTGCAAAGTGCCATGCTGATTAGGCATATACAGGATCTATAGAAAATGTCCAATTACAGGAATAATAATGTTTGTAGGGTGAGTTATTTACACTTGCTGCAGCTGGATATTTATAAGAGATCATGACTGATCAGGAATGGATCTAGAAATGTGTAGTGGGGGTGGGTACAGTGGAGAGCTTCCTGTCATAGGATGCGTGACTGGTAGTGAAGACCAGTAGCTAGAACCAGAGTTCTCGCCTGCAGAAAGTTCACTACATGTGCACTATGCAGTTGAAGGGGGTGTTACCACTTCAGTGCACTAACCCCCACCCCCGTCATGCACCCCTGTGCTTGACTGTTACTCACCTGAGCAAAGCAGAGTAGAGAATGCCAAGAGGAAGATAACAACAGATTTCATAGAATTTGAAGGAAAAGTGTTCTTGGTCTTCAGTCAAGAATAAAAGTATCATTGATGCTAATTAAAATGAGAAATACTTGTTCTTGCATCCTCCCTCCTTTCAGGGTTTCAGTAAAAAAATCAAGCTAAAGATGGCTGCCAGTAAAATTAATTAAAAAAATTAATCTTCAGTACAAACACTAAGCAGCTTCAGCTTGATTGTAGCTCTGGCAGACAGAATACAGCAGCACCGCCTGGTACAGAGCACAGCATCCTGCACAGAGCATTCTGCCAGCCATGTAGTGCTGCACCCCAGGGTGCCTGTAATACTGCTGGGTTGTAGGCAGGCTTCTTTGGGGGGGGGCTGCCAGGATGGGGGGGGAGGGGGAGCAGGATTGGTGGATGTAAGGTTGGGGAGTAGCCTTGTGGAGGCAGCATGGTGCAGGATATAGTCAGGGGCATCAGAGTATTGGGGTGAGAAGGGGGCCCCAGAGGGGGGCAGCACAGTGTAAAATCATTGCTGCAGTCAAACAGGGTTGCCAACCCAAGGAATTCTTTTTGCTGCAAACTTTTTATTGACAACCAAACTTGTTAATTTTTTTTGATTATGGTTGATGTTAAACTCCTAAATTTGAACCCAGTCTTTCCAACTGGGGGCTGGCAGCAGGACAGGGCCTGGCAGAAGACTTACGTTTATATTATATAAAGCATATCAGTAAAAAAGTGTCAGTAAAAAAGTTTGGCAGTCTGTAAACAATTTCTAGATTGGCAATAAAAAAAAATCTTGTGTTAGCAATCTGATTCATCTCTGTGAAGCCCTCCACCAGCCTTTCCTGACTATTTTACATTTTAACTCCTTCTTCTTGCCCTCACAGTCCATCCAGCTCTGCACCAGCCAACACTGTATCATATCACTGCTGCCCACTTCATTCTGCCCCTAATGCTTTGTTCCATTCCTCTATTTCTTCTACCAAAATGTTTCTCATTATGTCTATACCTCGAATTCCTACCCTACACCTGTCCAGCAAGTGCTAAGTCTTATTTACTCTTCACATGTCCCAGTGCAATGTACATGGCTCTGAAACTCCACTTTTTGCCATTTATGCACTGTTTGAGACGGCAGGGAAGATTTTGGGCAGTGCCTATGTTGGGCAGTGCACTTTGGGCAATACCTATGTTCTGTCTTGCTGGCTAGAGCACTTTGTTGGGAACCAAGAGAAGGATTCAAACCGCCTCTATGTGAAAGGTGGTCTAGAGCCTGGGTCTAGGCCCCAAGCAAGTGGCCTAACCAATAAGCATGGGTTAGGA